GACTAAACAATGTATCTTATAATTGATAAATTGAGAGGAGATATGTTAAAACATTTGCATATTCTTTGCTTTGTCCCTATAACATCCTGAGCTGATTTATACAATTTATAGCAACAAAACACAGTCTTGAGGAATACAACCGCAGTACACACAATATTTCACTATATCCAAAACTGTTCTAAAATCGCGTCGTTTATTCGATTCTTACCAGCTAGGAGGCCCATGGGCTGACTAGAATAACAAACATATTGAGCCAATTATCATTTCAAGCATTTTCCTATTTTATCTTGTCATCAAACGTGCATTTCTATACGTTTACCCTAAAAACCACGTGTTTTCATTTTCACAAAGTGTCTTCTTTACTTCAATCTCCCAAATGGAACCTCTAGCTTTCTAAGGACTTCTAGTCTATTTTAAAATATTATGGGAAGTCCCCATGACGTCTGAAATGAAATAGAGGTTCCTCGAACATCCAAATGAAGTGTGATGAATATTAACATCTCAGTTGAGAAATACCTTACCTTTTGGTCAGTAGTAAAAAGTAATCTCAAGTCACATTATTTGTGTGTGTGCGTGTGTGTGTTTATCTGGATTAATATAAAGATTATATACATTCCAAGAGTCATATAATCCAAAACTGTTGTTTAATTTACACATATATGTACATACATATTAGCAGCTGTGTCTTTCTTTCAAAAATTCACATCTATACTGGACAAACTTGAATTAACACACACACACACACATGGTTAGAATGGTTAAAAATTTTACGAACTTCGGACCCTGATGCACCAGGTTACTGCATTTTACTAGATATCGTTCTGCAATAAATTTATAAGATACAGTTTTACATTTTACAGCTATTCTAAACATGCCAAAGGAAGAGTTGATTGCACTCAACGCTATCAATATCCACACTAGTGTATTTACAATTTACACCACTTTCAAATAGAAATTGCATTATAAAGGCTTTCAGGTAAATTTCAAACACGTGTTAAACAGTATTAATTAACAGCCGAAAGCACCAAGTTAAATTTTTTTTTCCCCAAGAGCTTTAATTTATAATGACTAGAAGTACTTTGTTTTTGCATGTAATTACTGATGCTACTGGATTTTTCTTTCTAATAACAAAACATGTCTCATTAAAAGACAAAGGGATGCTGAGGTCCAGAAATTAATGACTTAGAGACCAGCCATGGTCTTTGTGAGTGAGGCAAAGCAGATTTTGTCTCTAATGTTCAAAGGTGCAATAAAGTAATACCTAAACGATTTCCTAAGCAGCTAGGTAACTACTTGGAATGACTGGTCTCAGATGCAGGTTGTCCGACAACTGATCTTGAACTTCAACAGTACATACCTAGACTCTATCAAGTAAGGTGAAAATGGGAGACTGGGATATAGTTATGGATGAACTGTGCTAATGGTTTTACACAGTGGAACATCCAGCATTCCATCTGCATAGTCTACATGATAAAGCATGCATTGCAATGGCTTCTGCAGACCAAAAAGATGCTTTGGTGGATTAATTTATTGAGGGACGTGAGCAGACCTAAGACTATTTTTAGCATAAGAAATGGCTGGAATGAGTTTTGCATCATGCCATTTATCCTGTGTAATGTGCTCACTACCGAAGAGAGGCTAATGATTGGGGTTGCAATGGGAGAGATTCCTGGTCTACATTGATGATATTTTGGTATTTGGTCATAGTTTGAGTCTACAGTTGAGGATCTAAGAATGGTATTCCAATGGATGAAAAAAGGCAGGCTTGACTCTGAAACCATGAAAATGTGTCCCTTGCTTACAGAAGTGAAGTTTCTTGGTCATATAACAGGTAGAGATGGAGTTACTATAGATTCTGCTAAGATGTCAGGAGCGAGAGACTGGCCAAGCAAGACTTTTGAAGTTTTCTTGGTTTTTGCATAGTATTATCAATGGTTGCTTGACCAAGGTAATATTTACACCCACCCCATATAAAAGTAATTTTAGTGCAGGTAATATATAACTAAGCAGTTATGACTCTTCTTGCAGCCTAAACATGTGGCATAAAGTTCAGTTAAAGTTCATTTGACCTTATATTTACAATTCAAGCTTTTGCTATTTAACTAAAAGTCATAGTATTGACTTTATGACTATCTCTTCCTTCAACTAACCAGTATTTCTCCATTCTTTGTTGCTTACTTCCTCTTAAGTATCTTCTTATATACTATATGATGAAATACCAATATGATGAAGACCAGTATGCCCAGGACTTTCTTTTCAATGAAAAATTTGACTACATGGCAGATCCTTAGACTACCAGAACCAGTTTGATGTTCACCTTAGCTAATCCTATGGATAAAGATGCATTGCTTGCCAGCACATTGGACGTGGAAGAGCTCACTATATCTGCCACTATGCTGGTGCTGAAGTCTTCTGGGGCCAAGCAGCCCCATTGGACATGGTAAATCCTGCAGAGTTCAAGCATTCACAGGATGTACTGCTGACAACCACTTTCTCGACCCTAAAGGAACTAATCCTCTTGAAAGTGGGGTCAACCTTTCCATCCAAGAAACACTGAGATCTGTTTGTGAAGTACCCTTTTGGAGAGTGTGATGTGTTCAAGCACTGATGGCACTAGATGTGCTCACATCTCCAATGGGAGCACAGCATACCAAAGCCAAAGAAAACCTTTCTAGAGCTTGACTTCTCTAGAGGTTCTATCAGCTTCCAGGAAGGTGAGAGTGGGATAGGTCAGAAAATCAGACCAAATAGTGACTCAATAGTCACTATTGCGACTGATTTTCTGACCAGTAGACCAAATGAGCCAGCTGTTTCTCAGAATTTCTTCTCCATAAACAGAATGAAATTGCCATCAATGAAGGTGCATCAAAAACAGGCACTGGACCTAACATCTTTACCTTTACCTGGACAACAGTACTCAAGCATCTCCGAGAGCAATTTCAGAATTAGCCAAGAGCAAAAACACTAAAGATCATCACGAGTTGGTATATATTAAAAAAGATTGGCATTTTCAGGATATGATCTTTAAATGGACCGAGGCTTGAGCCTTCTACAACAGGAAGGAGGATTGGCTGTTCCAGAGAGCTATGCTTCCTTCGTTGGTTTGAGGTTAAGTGGATACAAAGAAGTCCATGCTCAAAGCCCAAACACTGTGAGGGCCATAATGGCAGTCAATCAAAAGACAACTGATACACTTGAGGATCTGCTACTGAGATTACTGTGAAGGGAGTGAAGCTTTGTGCTTGCTCTGGGTAAGTCATGAATATTTTGAATTTAAGTATACATTTTGTGTATATATATATATATATATATACAATTATTATTTTTTGTTTAATACTTATTCACAAGAACCTGGTAAATTGCGTCTATTCTGATAAGATTCCATTTTTGTTTTTATCTTAAAGGTGCTAGTTTTAGTATACACATGTCTTAAAGATACTTGTACTATTACAATGTATTTTTGCTAAGTATTATCGTCATAGTTCTGTTGAGTGTATTTAAAGGTGTTTTTGTTGTTGTAAGGTCATTTACTGTTGTTTCTTGTATGTAAGTTTGAAGGGTTCATCTTGTGTTGTGTTAGGTGTAATATTACAGAAACGAGAGTAGGTTAATGTACTTATGACCATGCACATATAAAATTCTGATTTATCTTAAAATTAGATTAGAATTCAACTTACGAACAAGTCTGATACGGTGGTGGAGGGGAAAGTGTGGTATGTAGGCTTACCATGCGTTTTTTACCTTTTTATTTTAATGTATAATTTTTCAAAACGTTAAAAAGAATTACCTAAGCAAGGGCAAATATTTAAATTGTTCACATACACACGCAAATAAATGATTAATTATCTGTTAAACGGTTTTCAGTTACGATATTAAATGGTTTAAAATCCATTTTGTTCCGATTTGTGTATATTAATGCAACACGTCTTCAACCCACTTCATACAAATTCACCAAAAAATATTAGATTCATCATTTGGGGGTAAAAATAAAAGTTGTTAAATTTCCAGACCATTCACCATTTAAGAGATACACATGCTTGTTCCACATTAAAAAAATTAATCCTATGCAGAGTTACTTATTTTCTAACCCCCTTTACGCCCGATTTGGGTCTTGTTGGATTTTATGTACCCATTATTTCAGGATTTGTAGGGAGCTGCGTATTTTAAACCCGTCATATCTACACATTTATACTTTGTGGATAGCAGTACATTTACTTCTAGGTTAATTGCGTTGGTTTAAACATTTTATTCTAGATTTACAAAGTTTTTCTAACGTTGCAAATGTGATAATTGGTAACATAGAAATAATAACGAGAATGTTATTAATTACAGCAACGTAAAACTTATGTATATCTAATCAAAGAACAATGAAATTACACTAGCTTCTGTAATGCTGTCCTTGTAACGCTTGCACTTCAATAAACACCTCCTAGTTTTAAATACTATTGTGAATGTGTTACGAACTTGTCAGATGTGACTAGAGGTAGTCCGGTGTCTCGGTATTGGTGAACTTTTTCAATAAAAGATGATGATTCACCAGTTCATTTTTATTGATTGTTACGGTATTTTACTCCCGAGTTTGACCCATAAAATACATCCTTTTCCTGAGAAGTTTGGAACGTGTATGCGCCCCCTCTGAGTGAATGGCTCAGGGATGAATCATCATATTTCTAAGAACTAATTTCGAACTACCCAAAATTAAGGGGCATAGATGACTTTTCCAAAATCTGGAGTAATTTTAAAGTAATCTACCGGTTACAGACGAAATGTAGAGTTTAACATTCAAGTGCTGGTTGTTAAATTTATTCATTCTATACCATTTATTCCTTGCCAATTTAAAACCACTATTTTTTAATATTTCTTCTCGTGACATTATTCACCATCAATTCACGAGCTTTCCTTGGGTCCACAATTTGGTTCTTATCTACGATTAGAATATTAAAATTAATCAATCTTTGGACAATGTTTGTACTTTTGTGAAATCAAACAACAAACAAATATTTCAATAAAATTAAACCTTGTTAATTTACAAGAAATTTTACACCAGTCAATGAATCTGTTAAAAAGTGTTTAAATCTATATAACTGTACAATCATGAAATCTTTAAACAAAACACGCATCTGAATGCAAACGTAACAGATACGTGTTAATATGAAATGGGAAAACAGGTACACTTCAAAGGTCTTTTAACACCAACACTGTTTAGGCTCTGAAAATTACAAAAACTTATGAATAAAATCTGAATTCGTTATTCTAGTCCTGTCTCACATGTTAAGCCTAATAATGAATTACTGTAGTTTGAGAAACAAAATAACAAAGGATTTTCAAAGAAACATTTCTTTCTTGATTTTATTGTAATTTAAACTGTTTTTTTTAGATTCTAGTCATACATTGTTTAGTTATTTGGACTCATAAATCTCAGTAACTTCAACTTATTAATTCAAAGATACTTTAAAGAAATCAGTGTTCAATAAAAAAAAAAGTCTGGCACCTCAGCACTATAAGACATTCTATGAAAAGCCAATCCAGTATGATTTTACTTGGATACACCCAGACATTTTTACATGGTATGCAATGAGCAGAAACTTTAAGGTGTATTTTTTTTAACATCTTCAAATAAAATTATAAAGAAGTTGTTTCAGCAAAACATATTTTCACTCTTTAGAAAAAGGTATTTAAAACTTGTTACTAACTTAGTTTTTAATCATAAAAAAATATTTTATTATTCATTGTGTTTAAATTGTTTACAACACCAGTAATTCACTCTCATAAATAAACTTTTTCTTCCAAGTACAACTTTAAATTATTAAAATCCTCTACATGAATGATGTATTTATTGTCAATTCACCGATATTACAAATAAGTTTGTGATATGTACATATAACATTTGAAAATGAAGTATGTTGTATCCTATTGTTAATTACATTAAGTGGAACTTAAATTAGTCGATTCTGGTCACCTTATGCATCCATTCAAATATCTATTTATCAATCAATCAAGTTTTGAAATGCATGTTTATATCTTTCATTATGTGAAAAATTTAAATCCTCTCAGGTGTATTTTAGTAGTGCTAAAAACTGTAAAAAGCATTATTTTTTTTGGGGGGGGGGGTCAGACCTTAATTATCAGAGTTCTTTTGAGTACAGATTTATTTACATATAAAGAACTTTTACAAAATCTAAACTTAATTATGATATTGAATGTAACTACTCATCAATTCACACTAGGATACGCTGTAATCAATAATTATATCATATTAACCCTTCTAAGCAAAGCAAGTGTTATTCTCTTATCAATTCTATAAATCTTCAAACTATTTTATTTTTCTGTAAACCTAGGAAAAGGTTATAATTTTTAACTCTCCTAAAATTAGGGATTAACACATACTGGCAAGACCTTGTGCAAACAAATGAAACCTGTACCCACATTTGTACATATTTAACAAATTTATATAAACATAAAACTGTTTTATATATATATATATATAGACAAAGTCACATGTAATGCATTTATACTTCCCCTGTTGCAGCAGCATTAAAGCAAATAAAATTTGTCTTTTTTTCTTCTTTTTTTTTCAGTCTGTCCATCTCATTCAAAGTAAATGTATAATATACAACATAATCAATCATCCTACATTAATTATGCCACTTCATTTACATGTGCCCTGGGGAACTTGATCTGTATGCAACCTTTCCAACATAAAATCATCAGAGGCATGTATAGCCTACTGAAGGTTGCTGCCACATATCCCCACTTACGTATAGCCTACTGACGGTTGCTGCCACATATCCCCACCTGCCCTTTCTTTAATCTTAAACTGCTGACCATAACTAAAATTTACAGAAATGCTGACAGGATGCAAAACAGGGATGCAGTCATCTAAACCACTGAAGAAAGGTGCCAGAATTGCTGAATCCAGAGTAAGAGGAACATAGAAGGCACCTTTTGGATGCAGAGCAAAGATAGGAATGCTTGAAGCTGCTGGTAGTGAGGGTTGTGGACTTGAACAATGAACTGGAACACTTTGAGACTGATAAAAAGGTGGTGTGTGTCGCTCATTGCATTTTGCTTTTGGAATGTAAGGCATTTCATTGCCAGTGCTATATCCAGAACTACTACTACTACCATTAGATCTGACAACAGATGGTGGACTTGGATTAGATCCACAGCTGCTGCTTGAGTCAATGTTGTTATCCCAGGTCACATTGGAAGATGAACCATTTTCTGTGGTATTTCTTTCAGGAATTTTTACTGAAAGCTGGCTTGCAAGACTGCCTTGAGTTGACTGGCAAGTACTAGAGCAAGAATTAGCTGTACCTGTTGATGAAAGTGTGTTTGATGTTTCAAGAGTGGAACGATACCTTAAAAGGTCTTGACACCTTTCTTCTCCATCTGAAGCTCTAACAGGTGAAGATGCATGCTGTTGTAAATCTGCTGTAAACCTCTCTTTTATGTTCTTTTTGAACTTGTAGACCTCCTCTCCTCGATGAAGTTCGTGCGAGTTATTATGCGTCAACATAGGAAAAACATGTTCTGCTGTGGAATCAGTAGTGGGAATATTAACAAAACTATTATTTTTTGATGAAGCACTGGTACTGTTGCGGATGCGCTCCACTGGAAGACCTGGATTTTGCAACATTTCTCTTAGTTGACTCATACCAGAAATATTAGAAATAGGTACTGTTTCCATATCAACTTGTACTTGTGAGGTAGAGGGGTTCCAGTTCACCGCTTGTTGACCTGTACAGGGTGGAATAGTCACCCCCAAAGGAGTGTCATTTATTTTGGAGTTTTCTTGTTCAGTTCTACACTCCTGTACTGGGGAATTTTGTTCAATGGAGGTTGGAGTTGCATGGTGTTGGGCTATGCTTGTTGCAGATGGCAACTCTGTAGTTTCCAAAGAAGTATGAGATTCCACATCCATTGGAAAACCTCTGGAATCTTCAGCTGAGGTTATGACTCCAACATTTTGATAGCACATTCCTAAAGGAAGAAGAAGAAGGAGAATAGAATAACCCTTATTTAGTCATACATAGTTAATCATCTATTTGTTTAAGCCATGATGTGCCAACTTTAATGTTTTACTTAAAAAAATCTAACCACCACAATCTTCATGGCCTGCTGTTCCTGTATAGTTCAAAATATATTTAAATAAATGTAGTTCAAGGTATGAAAATGCCACAATATTCACCTATTATAATTGTTCCCATGAATTCCCTTTAAACTTAAATTAGCTGAGAGTCCTTTATTTATTACTAATATTATTATTACTATGTTGTGAAGCTTCAGTTTGTGTTGGACTTGTGATAATTGTACAATTTTCTATCACATTACAACAATTAGTTTGTTTGTTGTTAAGCACAAAGTTACACAATGGGCTATTGAGATTTGAAACCCAGTTTTTAGCATGGTACATTAAATATAAATCTGGTATATAAAAAAAAAAAGACAAGATATTATCCATTTGAGTAAAGAGCAGAAATAATGCTAGTCTACTTGGAAATTAAACACAAATACAATTGAGAAAATTTTAAATCACTCCTTCTCTACTGTTTGCCTTTCAGAAAATGAAATTTTACTTTTATCAAATAGTTCATAAGTTGTTCTTGGGCCAATGAAGCACCAAAACTTCATAATCTTTGCTTCTAATAATCCCAAAATTACTGTGCCAATTTCAAGACATTATATAACACACAATATTTGATTTTTTTTCATTGGGCTCGTTGCTTGGTTATTTTGAACTTAAAATCCAAAACACACTTACCTCCTGCAATTTTGTCATAGTGTTGTTGAAGATGGTTCACAATCTTGACACACAGCCCATCACTTGCATATAGTCCTTCTATCTCTACCATGAAGCGTAGAATTTCAGACAAGCATTCTTGAAATCCAAGTCTGTACTGTCGCCTTCTGTCTTGTTCAGCAGTTTTGGCTACTTCACAGGTTCCTAAGAAAAGATTGACTAATATGTATTTGGAATTACTAAAACCTAATAAAATTTATACAATGGACATGCTCATATCCAAGAAATATGTTATTATAAAAATATAATCATAGTATTAAAGTCAACTGTGACAAATCTTTGAAAATAAGTATCACTACTTAAGTACCTTTTAGTTTTACCTAAAAACAAACAAACATAAGACAGCAACAGAGTACAAGTAATAGCTGGAAATGTTAATATTAATATATTTAAGTAAAAAATTGAAAAAAAACACATTACCAATATAGAATGATCAGTAGTTATTACTTCTTTACCCTCATTTCAGTTTATCACATATATAAGCAATAATTAACAAAAGATGTTAGACACATAAACAACTGGGTTAAAAAAATCAAAGAACTGTTTATTCCTTTTTACACTGGGACATATATTACCTGGATCTTTGCATGTGTGAGCTTGAAGATGCTTCAGGTGTTTAATGGCCATCTCAATAATTTCTGTTTTTTCTATTCTTCCACGACCCTAGAAAAAGAAAAGAAAACATTTACTTCTATGTTATAAAACAGTGAGAAAATATCTACTATAAACTCTATAACAGTATAAAATGGTTTAAAATCTAAATCTTGTAATATTGTAGTAGTCTGAGCTAGTGATCAATAACTCGAGTCTCAGAGTTATTAAACAACTTTGTTTTCTAAGAATACTTCTTTATTTCCTTTAAAACAAACAAGATTCTTCCCTCACGAAAGTGAAAAAAGGATGCATATAAAAATGCATACTTACTTTTTTTAAATAAGATGTGGGTATCAGCCGACTTAAATCAGCTAGACAGTTGTTCATTCTGTCTCTTCGTCTTTTCTCAATAATACGATGTGACATTGGGTCCTGTAAAATAAAAAATACAACCTAATTTAATAATGATATAGATGAATGTTTATCATTTCAAAACCATTGATTTATATTTTAATAACTTTAACCTTTTTCACAATTAGTTTACTTTTCTAACACATTAAACGTACTCTACATTGGGTGAATCCACATACAGATCATACAAATTCAATAACTAACAATGAAATAATTTTATGTTTAAAGTGTTCATTATCATCAAAACCACAAAAACTTAAAACTCCACAGGGAAACTTGAAATTTAAAGAATACATATGAACATTTCACACCACAGTGTATGGAAATTAATATACATAGTTTTTTGAAATTATAGTTCCAAAACACTTGACACAACACATGTACATTTCCAAGTTCAGTTTGTCCTTGTACCAAAAGTGGTTTCACCTTAAAAAGAAATGTTTGTTAAGTCTTCCCTCAAAATGTCTGAAGACATCCCCTTTCTTTCTTGTCAGGAAAGGTCATATCATACAAAGTTATTTAGGATTAAAATCTGGCCTCTTTTTATCTATTTATTATGACAAATGCTCATTTTGCTTCTGAAATGTGTTATTCACTTTCTTCTCATGATGAGATTTTCAAATTCAAATTTGTTTTTTAATGAATGTTATAAATTTTCTGCATGAAACACTGAATTAGGAGGATTTTTGTTGTGACCAGTTTTAATTCTCTAATGGACTCGCTTGAAACTGTTTATTACAGCAGAAAATGACCAAGGATATTTAAATTATAACCAGGTTAAACAAAATCTTAAATGTAATAAAATAAAATTTACCAGTACAATACATATTTGTCATAAAATTTTAGGATCAAGGAGGCTGGATTACTATGACAAGTAACATTACAATTTACTCAAATGGTGGAAGGATATTATCAAGATGTTAAGTTTTAAAATGACATTTATTGCAGTTGTGAAATATGCTACTGACATTTTACTTCTCCCAAAAACATTACATAAAAAGTATCTGTAAATATTGATAATTATTATTTCAATAAACTGACTGTCTTTACACAATGTATATAAAATTTAAACCTTATGCCCAAAGCTATATATTAATACTGCTGCTAGTATAACAATAATAAATAGATGCCCATCTGCCTTTGAATAATTTGTAGCAAACTTTAATAATCTCATTTGCTGGTGTTGCTTTTATTTTGTTTTAAGTTGTTCATATATACTATGTACAATGCATAAAAAAAAATTTTGGACTTGATACAAAGAATTCATTATTAAATATACACAAATAAGAATGATTGTGTACCTTTTTTAAGTGCCTATAGAAATTGAAATAACATGAGCAATAAATGATAGATATTTTCAGACAGCACATCTTTTTTTTTTTATACTATTAAATAGGTAAAATCTAAGATGAGTTAAACTATTCTGATTATTCGGAGCATTAGGTATGTTACATTAAAACTATTTTCAATAAGTAAATCAGCAAGGTACCACAGCCAATACAAAATCATGTGGAATGGCATGTATCGGAACTATATTTGACATTGTTTTACATTTTGTGAGTAATGTGATGCCACCCAAAACTGATTGCTTTTGGAAAGGGTATATAACAGCCCTTTCCAATGCAAAGTATCATACATCTGTTTCATAAAGATGTGTTTAGATCAGGAATCTAGAATTTCCAAGGCAAGGACATCCATTATACTTAATGACATTGGAAAACAAAGGAACAAGGATCAGTTAGGAGACCCAGGGCCTTCCAGAAAGAGACCTGTAACAAGTCATAACCCAGTCATGGTAAGCAAAGTGAACTGTCTTGTAACAGGCGAGAATCCACAAACACAAAGGATAATGGCAAAATTCATCCACATGCCCCAAACAACAGTATACAACATAATGCAGAAGAATCTCATTCTGAAAAAGTGAACCAAGTCATGTGTACACAAGTTGCTTCTATGACATATCCCTTCAACCATCACATACTTCAAGTAGATGGAGAATTAAATGGGTACATCTTATTCCATTTTAAAAAATACCATTCAAGTTGCAGTATACAGTGCCTATGATGAATATTTGCATGGACTGACTGTTCAAACAAGCACTAGAAACTATCTTTCTCGTGCATTAGATAGATTATTGAAAACAAGCAGGGAGGAGTGTGTGCTTTGAACATGACAGCCTAACAACAAAGCTTTTTGCAATGGAAACTAAGTTGCAGGGCTATGATCTATATATGTACGGTCGTCAGACAGAGCATGACCGGACATGGCAGCATAAACTGTACCCATGTGGTGAAGCCCCAAAATAATATTAATATAATGTACTAAATCTCTGTATCAGCAGTTTACACACACACACATACAAAAAAAAACCTCGGATAAACTGATGCATAATAGAGTTATTACTAGTAATAAGCCTCATCGTTTTCATCTACAAGCCAAGCCTACAAATAATACAAGAAACCGTTCGGATCAGGTCAATTGTCGCTTTGCGTTACATCCATTAACACACACACTTCCTTTCTAACGACCATGGAAGTATTCTTGACGTTGACCTACTTTCAGCAGGAAGAAAAACACACATGCTGAATACACGTTGCTTCACTAATGTCGAATGATCATTTTGAAGTAGGTGTTTTCTGATTCAGTTATTGTTTTGATAATGTATTATATACACGAGCACCATGTTTCATCGACGTCACGTGAATTTCACGAGACCAGCATGACTCAAGATTCTAGCAGTCGTGATCGGTTACTGCGAAACTGAGTTGTCCAGAAACGCTAAATATTTGTCTATGTTTACTATATATTTCTTTCCTTATGTTAACAGTCGGTAATGTTCTAGCTAATAATAACACTTCCAATTATTTGATAAATCCACTTTTCTTTTGAACAACTTAATATTTTTGGATATATTTTTATTTAGGTATCATTAAATATAGTTTAGAGTCTTGCTGGAAACTGGAGTCTCCTTATTTTGTTTTTCGTTTAACACGTCGAAACGTTATTATACCGGTTAAAATTAAAAAAAAATCAAAATACAAAAACGGCTGAATAATTCACTACACTCGTAATATTAATAATTAATTTATACATATAAACCTTATAATGTGGAACGGTAGAAACTACAGTATACAGCTGGACACAAAAGCATGCTAAAATATTGGTACAAAGTTAAAAACTGTACTAAAACTTCAAACTTGTGTTAGTTTTAAATAAAACAAGACGTGCATTGTGTTATTAATATCTTTTCTAATTTATAATTATATAAAACTGTAATTATAAAAATGTTTCCAAGTGTGAACGGGCAATAAACTACTACTAGTAGTACTACTACCCCTTTAATAAAGTAATACAAGTTTACAGCTACATTTAAGAATAGGAATTACCTTACACAAATATTTTAAATTTAAAGCTCAATAATTAATCTTTGATATTTATTTTACAAATTATCTGAATTCTGACTTAACCTTCGCTACAGTTATTAAACACAAGGTCAATACTTAAAATATTGGTGCAAATAAGGAAAAACATACCATCTTGACTTATTTTATGTTGCTACAGATTTCACACCAGAAATCAGTATACTGAACAAACTAATAAACTCCAAATACAAGCTTCCAGTAAGACCACTATTTCACAAGTACAAGGGCGCCAGGGTATAGAAGAAAAGGCGTTGTCCATCGATGTTTCAGTTTGTATATAAAATGCTGAATAAACGCAGAGAATCTCAATTATATTTTCTACCGTTGTAATGCAACGATACCGTGTGCTCAAAAACGAAGTCTCTACCCTTCTGTTTCACTGCACAACCACGAACACGTTTACACTGCATCCAACACTTGAATGACACGTGATCTGGAGGTCTGAGTTAACGTTGCTCGTAAACATTAATACGCAGTACCTGCGAGTTCACGTGCCCACGTGTAAGCCTGTTGTTTCGCATCTCGCTAAAATTGGGAAACCAAATCGATTGCGTAGGCGACGTGATGCCTAGCTTGCGTCAGGAATAAAACGGAAATACAATGAAAAAACAAATGAAAAATATAGTTTTTAAGATATTAAAGAGGATCCTTTAAACAAGAACAATAAGTCGATTTTTAACGTTTAAATACTGGTGATTACTATCAGCATTTTATAAACGAATTTTCTTGAAATGAAACAAAAACGACATTTTTTAACTTTATATATATTATACAGAAACAAAAATCTACAAGAACAATAATTCTGATAATATTATAAAGGTTATTTTTTCGTGTCTTAAGGAAAGTCTTGCTGGTGGCAAGATAACGGCTATTAATATATTTTTCGTTTTTTCCTGCACATAAAGGGGAACATTTATAAATTGCCCACAGAAGGTTGCAAATATCTATGAAGATGGTTGATAGTTTGTTCTTTTTCTAAAAAAATTGTATAAACAAAATAAAAACGATTCTGATATTTGAATGTAAATTTAACTGAAACTTAAAATGTTTAATATATATAAAGATTATCATCTTACGTTAATTAATTTAAATTTGCAATATAATAAAACAGGATTTAAGTGCTAAAGAGCGCATGAAGTCAAGATTAAATAAATTTATAAAATAATTCATAAAATAGTATATTCTTGAATATTAGTAATAGAAAGATTTTGCGAAATATCTAGAAACAAGGCTACATTATAAGTACGAGAATCTTGATTTTGTGAAATATCTAGAAACAAGGCTACATTATAAGTACGAGAATCTTGATTTTGTGAAATATCTAGAAACAAGGCTACATTATAAGTACGAGAATCTTGATTTTGTGAAATATCTAGAAACAAGGCTACATTATAAGTACGAGAATCTTGATTTTGCGAAATATCTAGAAACAAGGCTACATTATAAGTACGAGAATCTGTGAAACATTGAGCCAATTCTCAGTTAGCAGAGTTCAGTGAAGTATTTAGTTTCAAGTATTTGGATCAATGATCGTTTTCAGTAACTCGGTCGGTTATCCGTAAAATTGTAAAAGTTTATTTCTACCGTAGTTATAGTAAC